GCCAGGTTAAATTTTATTTCATATCCACCACTAATAATTGGTAAAAGCTTTTTTATAATCACAAAATGACCCTTAAAAACAAAAAATATGAAAATGGCACAGTGCTCACTATGTTTTAGTGGAGCATTAAAACATAACTACACATCCATGTAAATTAGAATTCATAGCCCAAAACAAGCATTGGGGGGGGTACGATGCAACCTGTGTCTACCTGAAAAGATATTCATTTTCAAAAACATTAACAAAGTAGGTCTGCTTAATAAGCAGAATGAACTCCTGATAGCCTGTAAGCATACAAAATCGTTTCTTTTAAAATATTGGAAACCAGACTAATTTCTTTTTTTCATATTTCAGCTTTAGTTCCCCGCTTACTTCCCTTTAACCCGTCGACATTTAATGTCTCTGGTTATGATTTTAAGTTTGAGACTTGAAATTCCTTACATTCTTTTTTTTTCTTGAAAATAAACACTACCTGCAATTTATTTTCTACAAATTTTGCACTATTTTATTTTTGGACTATAGCAGCGTCTTCCCAAGGTGTCATCTGTGTATTTTTTTTTGGTGCCAAAACACTGAGATGTTTTTCTCATCGGAACAAAAACCTGATCCACAAATTTGCGATTTGCGGACCAGGTTTTCATTCTGATGAGATGAACATCTCAGCGTTCATGACATAAAAATCATAAATGAAATGGATAATTAAAGTCTGTCTTCTTATTATAATCATAATTCTCTGCAGTATATATTGAGCTCTACCTGGTTTTATATGCTCCTCAGAATTATCCCTTCCAGTCACCAACTGGTAAAATATATACATACGTACACACAGCAGAGTTGAATAAGTGATCATACAGCAAACAAATGCTTGTTATTCTCACTTATAGTGAAAGAAAACCTCGAATAACAATGTTATATATGTATTTTGGGGCATAGAATCAGAATCTGCAATTTAAAATTAGACATTCATTGATAAGTGATAGTTATGCAAATTTTTATATTCCAAATAGTGGAAAAGTGTTTGTACAGTATCAATTTTTGCATTATAATACGGTGGATTCTGGTTGTGCTTTAAAGTAGAAGATTCTAAACTGTTCTAGAACATTCAAGTATATAAAGTTGCGCTTCCCAATAAAGACACCACTTCTGAAACGGCATAGAGATGCCAGGTTGAAATTTGTGAAAGAGCATAAAGATAATGAAAATTTTTATTGGGAAAGAGTTCTTTGGACAGATGAGAGTAAAATTGAGTTGTTTGGCTGCAATTCCCTGAATCATGTATAGAGGAAAGGCGGCGAAGCATACGCACCCAAGAACACCATACCAACTGTCAAATTTGGTGGGGTATCATGGTTTGGGGCTGCTTTTCGATGCAAGGTGTTAGCAAACTAGCAATTATAGATGGTAGAATGAATGCAGAAAAATATCAACAAATCCTAAGCAAAAATTTATCGCTTTCTGTAGAGAATCTTGGGCTTCCACCTGAGTGGATCTTCCAGCAGGACAAAGATCCCATGCATACTGCTAAGTGTACAAATTGGCTTGCCAATAACATTAACATCTTAAAATGGCCCAGTCAGTTGCCAGATTTGAATCCAATAGAGAATTTATGGCAGTTTTTGAAAAATAAGATCCAGTATAGAGGTCCAACAAACATCAATAACCTGAAGACAATTACTCAGGAAGAACGGGTTAAAATACCTACTAAAGTATGCGAATTGTTAATTAAAGACTGCAGGAAGAGATTGGTTGCCTTTGAACTTAATAAAGGCTTTGCTACAAACCATGTTTTTGTTCTGCTGTATGATCATTTTTTAAACCCCTAAAAATTTAAATATTGCTATATTTCCTTAACCATGGGATATCATTTAGTTTTATAAGCATACATTTTTACTATGCAATCTGATACAGTAGATATATTCCTGTTTTGTTAATTTAATATGTTACAAATAAAAATATGAAATATTTTCATGTGTATGATCATTTATTCAACCCCACAGTGTGTGTATGGATATATATATATTACACACACAGACAATATTTGGTCGGTTTGGCAATTCATGTTTCAGTATCAGTTTCCAGATTTTTTTTCCCCCTTGATATCACAGCTTTCAATTTGGTTTTTCGGTTTTTAATTTAGTATTTTTGCTTTCTAAGGAAGTCATCCATTTTCCTGTGTAATGGTAGCATTTTTAGTTATCAGATTTTGTTCGAGATTGAGAAATTTGCAATTTAGTCCGTTCAACTTGCAATTTCTTGTGTATTTCTGGTACAATCTTGAAAATATTCATATGGCTGGAAAGAAAATAAAATAATCTTTCTAAATATGTAATTTGTATGTGCTTTTATTTGTTGAATTATTTTTCTTTTTGCAGTGAGTTAAAACAGTATTTTGCTTTGAATAGCTGAAAATGCGAAATATGTTTTTCTTCAAGACTAAATTTTGCACGTTACTTTGTTTCGTAAAATCCAAGTGACCAATCTTTATCAATATTCTTGAAATTGTACACTCAATTGGAAGACACCTTAAACTACAACCAGAAAGATGTTCATTTCTTATCTGACCCAAGGAAGCGAATTCCTTCAAAAAGTGATTTAAAATAAAACAAAAAAAACAAAAAACAAAACACACACAACTGATAGTAATATATGTGGTAAAAGAACTTTCAAATTATTGAAACTAATGTCTCACACTGGCATTCTTAGTTTGGATTTTAAAAAAAAATGACTTGCAGTTTTGAAAATATACACATTTTAAAAATGAGATTAAAACTTACTTTATTTTTTAATAACTAATTTTAGGTGTATTTGCTAGATAAAAACAATTTTATTTGTAGAAAACAATTTTTACACTATAGAGACTCACTCATCTGGAAATATACACATTTTAAAAGACAAATTAAGAACTATTTTAACTGTTCTTAATGTCTAATTTATTAGTTTCATTCCCTAGATAAAAAACAAATTTATTTTTTAAAAGAAATCATTTTTCTTTACAACAACTTCATTTTATGATTGTCATACTGGCTTAGAAAAGCCTTACAAAAAGCAGACTTCATAAAATTTAATATTAATACAAAACTGGCAACCATTTGTTTATTTTTTTTTTACTTGCTATTTTGTTAATTTTACAACAAAATTTTTTTTGAAAACCAAAAAAAATAGATTTCAGACATCATGTATTTATTTTCTCTTCATTTCTTTTGTAAACAAATAGATTTCACATTTATTTCCTAAAACTAGTCAATTAAATGTTTTTAACATATTTTTGCTCAATCTTTTTCTCTTACAATGGTATAAATTTTGATGAAATCTAATTTTACTGACATCTAAATTTTTTCATGTGTATTTCCAAAAAATAAAATCAAGAAATATTCTAATCATAAATTGGTGAAGATATTGATGTTACATGTCTCTTCAGGTTTAAGAAATAAAATAAAAAAATAAAAAATAATAATAATAATAATAATAATAATCAAGACCAATTAAAATTATTTCTATATGCAGAAAAATTATACAAAAAAAATCTAAAATCTAAATAAAATCTAGTTTTGAATCATTTAAAACTTAAAATTTGAGAATTATTTACCTTTTGAAAACCAAAATATCTTGAAATTTTGACTTTTCATGATATAAAACTTCATCGACCTTAATTGATAGACTGTATCCATCCCAAAGATCATTTTCTTCACGGAACCAACCATCATCCAAACGTGACATCTTTGATTTTAAAACTAAAAAGAAAAAAATTTGCTTCATATAAACATCAAAATCTGTAAAGAAAGAAAAACCGTTGCAATATTCCTTCACAACACAAGCAATCACTAGATTTATTTCTCAATTTAAGAATTGACACAACTTTGAAAGAAGACCATATTAATCATTCAAGGCTCAAGAATCTAGTCTATATTACTATTTAGCTTAGGTATATCCAATACTTTGCTAAAAGAGACTATTATTAAGGGAAAACTATATTCCCTAATCATAAATAGTAAAGTTTAGGTAGTTTGAATACTTTGCTAAAAAGGAACATACACTGATGAAAAAAAGGCCCCAAACTTGAATAAACTATTTTTTATCGTCTAAATATTCATGTTATTATTAAGAGGAAAAACCAAAGCATTTTTTGACTATTTTGTAAAATTTTTTTAATCCTTCCCGTTTTTTTTTTTTTTTTGAGTCAGCAAAATTGATATAAAATCGATTATTTCATTATTTATTTTTTTGATAAATTTGTAAACAAAAGTGAAATTCCATATTTAAAAATCTTGTAAAATTCAATTATACTTTTTCAAAAGTTATTTTAAGAAAATTTAAACTATACTTAATGTAAACAAGTTTACTTAATTTTTTAACAGAAAAAATTTATTTGGAAATAAAAGAAGCCTGTCTAACCATGGTGATTAGCTTTAAAGGTGTGAATTGGCATTTACATCAATGTATCAACAACTAATGTCAGGGCAATTTATCAGACAAAAGTGACAGTATTTTTTAATTTTAAGTGAGCCATCTTATTTAATTATAATAATCACAAAAATACACAGTTGAAATTAAGTTTTCATGAAATTAAGGGGGTGGGGAGCAAAACAAGTAAAATAAAAAATTTTTTTTATCATGACTAAAAAATAATTTCATTCATTTTTGAATTTAAGTTCCGAAAGTTTCAACATGCCAGAAAAGATTAAAAAATTCAAAAAATAATTAAAAAAATACTTTGATCTTTCCTCTTAATAACAAAAAACATTTTGGCAATAAAACTGTTTTTATTATGTTTGGGACCTTTTTTTCCTCATGCTATGCTGTTTTTTCAGCAAATTATTGAATATACCTAATTTATCGGTTATTTACATAAACAATGCAGCAATTATGAAATAAAACCTCCCTGATATCAGTCTACAATTCCACCAAGAATAAAAAAAAGAGGAAGATATGCGTTTAATAACAAAGTTAATATTTAATATATAAATATTGTAGAAATTTTTAATTTAAAAAAATAAAAAATTATCCATTATTTTTAAGTGTTCACATGGCATTGCAAAAAAATTATCTTTGTCATGTATGTACAGTAGTTATCAGCAACAAAAATTTTATAAAAAAATATTAATTGAAAATTTAAAAAGTGAATTCTTATACACACACAAGCTTAGGCCACAGCACAATGCCTGGTACCTGTATTTAATGCAGAGGCGCCCTTAAAAAAAAAAAAAAAAAAAAAAAAAAAGTTACGTTTTCCATAATAAGGTGTTTTTCCGGGGGCGGGGGTGACTAGAGCCCTATGCAGATAATTTTCATAGAAAAGAGGTAGATTTCAACAAATGTTACAACACCAATACTTAAATAGACTGGTCCCCTTGAAAAGGAAAGAAAACTGCATGCATGTCAAAAAGTCATGGATTAGTTTGATGTATTTATACTGTAAACAGCCTCCCTTTCCATCTAAAATAGAAAATTCATGTTTTTCAAGTCTGACAAATTGCTTGAGTAGAGGAAGTTCTTCTGAATGCTAATCAGCAAAAAATTAATTTGTGAAAATATTTTGATCTATAAGAAATTACTAATTAATATTTATGTAAAAAAGTAAAGGATTGTTTTTACATTTACTGTACATATTTTCTTGTTTCAATAGTTATTTTGATTTTATGCTTAAAAAGCTTTATATTTTTAAGCAACAATCTTGTAAATGCTTGATCTCTTTTTTTGAAAATTTTCCACGGCAATACTTTTGCTTCCTTCTTTTTTTTTTTAATCAATCATTTAACTCCAAACAAAGTGCAAATGGGGATTACAGAGTGATGGTGGGAAAAAGACTGGGTAGGATGAACTGAGGGAAGGATAAAAGCTGAACAGGGTTTAAAGAGATAGATGATGGTGATTAACATTGCATTTACATTTTTGAAGTTTGTAGTTAAGCAATAAAAGAAACTGTTGGAGTAGAAGTGGTAGTTACTAATTCAACAGTAAAAGGGTGGGACCTAGATGTCAGTCTAGTAGCACACTTAAACTCATATAGTCCAGGCAACTGGGGGGAAAGCTCATCAGAGCAGTTGCCATGAAAATATTTGTCGAAAAGACAGAGGGAAGATACATCATGTGGATTAAGAAAGAGACTGAAGTAAAGATGCCAAGTCAGGAACAATTACATTGCAGATCCTTCTTTGGAACCTCAAGATGTGTAGCAGGAGCAATAGACCAGATTTGGTAACAGTACTCAATATACGAGTGTATAGTAGATTTGTAAATGTGCAAGATGGACTGACAAGAAAAACCTCCTGGCATGACACAGTGACCCAAATTTCTTTGCAGCAAATGTACCTATTGATTTGATATAGTCATTCCACTTCAAGTCAGTTTAAAAGGGGAGGCCAAGAAGCTGCTTTCCAGGAGACTAGTATCAGCCGTGCTGATGGCAGGCAGGAAAGGTTATCGATGGTAGTTGAATGAAAGCATTTCATGTGGGAGGCATTAAAATTTATGAGCCATTTCCTACTCCAGTTAGCCACAGATTGGAGGTCCTTTTCAAGAACAGCGGCCACGGTAACTTTGTCAGCTCTGATGGATTTGCTATTGAGACAGGAGTAAATTGTAGTGTCATCAGCATAAATGCCTACTTGGGAATTGATGAAGAAGGAAGATCACTGAAGAAAATCAGAAACAGCATAGGACCCAGGATAGAGAATTGAGGTAAATCGGTGTTTCTGAGAAAGGATCTAAAAGTGAGTCCATTCAAAACTACCTTCATTTCATGATTTGATAGGAACGGTTGGATCAAATGAAATAGCTGTACAGTAATACTGTAGAGTTTACGTATAAGATCAGCATACCAAACCCTGTCAAACACCTTTAAGATATCAAGAGTCACAGCTCAGCCTTCACAGTTATTATTAAGAGCTTGATATACATATTCAGTGATGGTTGTTAGCACATGAACTCTGGCAAAATGGAAGCCATATTGTTTGTCAGAGAGTAGGTCATGAGAGGTAAAGTGCTTAACCACTTCAGTATTGAATGCTTTGCCAAAAAGTAGTAGGAGACTAATAGGGCAATAGAAAGTTCTCCAGAGTTCTTAAAAACAGTAACTACAGAGGAGGACTTTCAACAAGATGGAAAGAAGGAAGCAGCATGACAATAGTTGTTGAGATTGGAGAGGACTGGAGCCAGCTCAGGGGCACATTTCTTTAGGACAAGGGCTGGGATCCTGTCATCTCCATTTGCTTTATTTATGGGAGCCTAATTTAGAAATGATGTCAGAGACCAGTGATGGGGTTATCCACATATCACTCAGTAGGACCTCTGTTCGATTGGGGAAATCAGGTGTGGGCACTCGAAAGGAGTCGAATGTTGAGTTGGAAGAGAATTTCTGAGCAAAGTCATCATAATGTTATTTATCAATAAAATATTTGATTTTAAAGTTTTTTTGTTTATTTTAATCAATTTCTTTGAAGATTTTACATTAATATTAATTTTTACAAATAAAAAAAAAAAAAAACAAATTTTGCAAATTGTCATGTGCCTTTATTTTTAAGGAGTCTACCAAAGTAATTTTTGTTTGCCCCCTATCTTAGGCTAAACTTCATCCCTCTGTGTGTGTGTGTGTGTGTGTGTGTGTGTGTGTTCGCACACACTTTTAAATCTTATTTCTACATCTTAAAAAAATTCCAATTATACATCTAGGAATATATATAGTTTAGGTTCCACCACACTCCACAGAAATGCATTACCTAAAGTTTAAAATAAATTTTTATAAATAAAAATCTTTCATGAAGATTTTGAACATATGTATGTTTACTAGGTCAGATTGTTTTTTTCACTTTTCTTAGAAAATCAAAAATCTGGGGTTTGATGTACCAACACCAAAAATTCTATACCATAGATTTTATAAAGTTTTAAAGATCATCTGGAAAAAAAAAAAAAAAAAATTTTAAAATTTTACTGTTTCAAGAATGAATCAAAATAAAGTTGATATTTTTTGTATTACAGACAATGAATAGAAAATATTATGAATATCCAAAAAAATATGCAATTTTTTTTTCATCCATTTGATAACTGAATACTTTAAAACATTACAGAAAAGACTAATTGATGAATAAAATTAGGCACCTCCAAAAATTCAGTATACCTAAAGTTAAAAGGTATTTTTCATAAATGAAAAATCATTTTTGAAGCTTCAATTGAAAGGTAAAGGATTAAATTTTCTAATTCCAGAGAACAAAACACTGTACTGTATTTTAAATAGAAATTATGATTTTTAGTAGATTCTTCTAAAAAACCAATTGAAACGACCATTTTTAATTTTTTAGAGAATTTAAACAAAAATTATTTTGTGTTTTAAAAAAACCTGCCTAAAATAACAGATTTCTGAAAATTTACTTCCATAAAATTAGCAAATTTAAAGTTAAATTAATCTGTATTGAAACAAACATTACTTACTTACACCATAAAAATTTTCTAGAAAACCATTTCTTCACCACAGTCTTGTTGATAAATTTTATGGCCAAATGTGTTGACAGGTTTAATATAGTGGACCAGAATGGATATAAATTTTCAAATTCTATGTAAGAATGGTCTGTTTTTGTTTTTTTAACTAGCAGGTAATGTTTAAAAATTAAATTTTTTAAGCAATTACCTAATATTTTTTTAATGTAATTTTGAAGATGCTTTTTTATAATAATTTAAAATACTATAACATTTTTTTTTAATTATCAAGTTACCTCTATAATAGATAAATATCACTTGCTGCTAAAAAAAAAAAAAAAAAAAAATAATATTTTTAATTAGGGTAAAGAGTTTTGGTATATGATTTGTACCAAGCTTTTAATTTTTGGTCAGTAAATATAGCCTTTACTTAACTTAATAACCTACAGTAACAGATGTAAAAAAAAAAAAAAAAAAAAAATTGTATACACACACAAAGATTTTTCTAAAAATAACAATTTCAAAAAGAAATCCACTCATTTTTGAATAAGTTCTGAAAGTCTCATTAAAATAAGACAATTATTTGATTTTTGCAAGAATTTCCAAATTAATGGGTTTTCCCTTGGAAACTGCTACACTAAAATGGCCATTACCACAAGTAGTACAAAGTTGACAAAAAAAAAAAAAAAAAAAAATTGACCCAAATTTAGAACATGTTAGAAAAAAAAAAATTTTTTTTTAAATAATTAATAATTATACTTTTGTCTCATGTAAGCTGTTTTTAATAATAAACATTTTGACAATAAAACTTTGTTTTTATTATGCTATATCAATTTTTAGCGAATTATTGGAGGTACCTACTTAGGCACCTCCACTAATTTGTGATACCTAATGTTTAAAATGAATTTTTAAAAATGAAAAGATTTTCTTAAAGCTTTCATTTTAGCTTTAATTGAAAGCTAAAAGGATTAAATTTACTATTTCCAGTAAGCAAAATGCTCTGGCGTATTTAAAACAGAAATTATATTGATTGGAATTGATCTTCATTATTATTTTTTTTATTTTTTTTTTTTTTTTGGCTAAAATAGCTGATGACCACTCTTTTTTTATTCATCTTGCATCTTTATTAAAAAAAAAAAAAAATCTTCCAAAAATAAAATATACTTATTGAGAAACTGAGAAACATTGCTTTTGTGTCCATAAAACAGATGTAATACGCAAAAATAAACAGATGTCTGTTTATTTTTGCATATTGTTCGTGTAAAACATGTGTGGATAAGTTAATTTGATTTTTCAATTTCAACTGAGAATGGTACCTACAAGTATTAGATACCTATCTTATGAAATTTATATGATCTTATTTTTATATTATCTCAGTTATGACATTTTTCCATAAATGAAATATCAAAATTAATAAAATGAATGGAAATACAAATAACACAGTAAAATGTAATAAATGTACATAAAATTATAGTATTTTATGTACACTTCTGATAAAATTTCATAAGAAAAATGTAAAAAAAAATTAATTAGATACCTTATATAAATTTTTATCCTCTCCTCAAGACTTTTTAATTTTTTTTTTATAATATAATTTTCCATAAAGCATCATAAACATAAATGTGAAAGCTAAGTACAAAAAAGAAAAAAAACAGAGCACTGAAAGATTTCCTTAACAAGGTAAATTATTGGTTCACTTAAATCTAAATAATTATGTCACTTCTGTCCTCCTGTATGAGGACTTTCCATCATGTAAGCTGTCAATACATGATGAAATCATCACCCATCAAGTGACACCAAATGTTAAGACCTGCTTTGCCTTATTTTTAAACTACATTTTTTTGGCACAGAAAGTTAAGTAATGTTTGTTTCAAAATATTTTAAATAAACTTTATATTAATTTCCAATTTTTCTTAAAAAAAATTTTGAAAAAAAATTAATTGATTTCTAAAAGAATTTTAAACGGAAATTCATTTTTGCTTATAAAATGTAAAAAAAATGGTTGACATGATCGATTTTCTGTCAGTTTTACTGGATCAAAAAGAAAGATTTTTAACAAAAATTTCGGATGTGCTAGGAATGATTAAAAATGTAAAAAAAAAAAAAAAAAAAAAATATATATATATATATATAAAATATATTTATAAATTTTCTATATCTTTAAAATGAATTGATAATAAAAACATTTAGACAGTAAAAAATGATTTTTGTCAAGTTTAAGGCCCTCTTTTAATAAGGGTATGATCTTTTTTTTAGTAAATTTTTGAGGTACTTACGAATTGGAGACAAGCAAATTTCTGTCAAAAGAGGACAACTCTTAAAAACTGAATAAAACATGTCCTTTTCATAATAATGTTACGTATACTATAGACTACCATAGATAAAAAATGGAAATGTTTAAAGTAAAATTAAAAAAGAATTTAAGATCTTCAATTTTTGATTCGTAAGTATTTTATATTAAATTACAATATCACCTAAAAAAAGAAATACGGGGTTGTTAGATTTTAAATTATGATCTATTTAAATTTTAAAATTTAAAAAAAAAAAAAAAAAAAAAAATCCTTTTTTCAAAAATTCATTATTCCCCGAAAGGTTTTTTTCTTAAAGCAATTTCCTAGGCTAAATGCAACTCAACAAAAGCAAATAAAAAGGTTTTCTAATTAAATAAAAAAAACGTCATTACAATTTTTTTTTTTTTTAGTTTACGATTCGAAAGGTTTTTTTCTAAAGCAATTTCCCTAGGCTAATGCAACTCAACAAAAGCAAATTTTCAGATAAAAAACGTCACATAATTTTTTTTTTTTTTTTAGTTTACGTAAAAAAAAAAGTTTTGAGGATTTCTCCAAGGAGTCCTACTTTTAAACTAAAATTAAAAAAATAGTTTTTACCAAGATTTCCTAAAACAAAAAATTTAAAAAATAATTTAATTCATCTGTGAATAAGTTCTGGAAATTTCATTAAAATCCAACAATTATTTGATTTTTGCAAGAACTTCCAAATCAATGTTTTTCACTGGAAAAAAAGGCTAACTAATCGTCACGAGCCGGTGTAATGGTTAGTTCGATCCTCATTCGGTACTCCATACTTTCGGCCTTGGGCCACATCTAATATTTATTTAAAAAATAAATCCTCTTAATAAACATTTTATTTGAACGATAAAACTAAGTTTGGGTCCTTTTCTCATAATGCTATATGCTATTTTTTCGTCAAAAAAAAAAAAAAAAAAAAAATGGAGTTCCCTAAAAAAAAATTCTCCAATGACTTCTAGTTGGAACTAAAATATAAGTGACACAAAAATCAATTTCTCAATTTCATGAAATTAAATGAAGTGGTGGTAGTAGTGGTGGTGGTAACAGATGTATAAAAAAATGTGAATAAAACCTGAAAGTTTCATTTAAAATCTAACAATTATTTGATTTTTGCATGAATTTCCAGATCAGTTTTTTCACTGCAAAAAAGACGCTAAAACTATTTTACAAAGAAAGTAAAATTAAAAATATGTACAAGGAGGTGCTGGTGAAGTAATGATGAAATATTGCATTACAAACGCTATGTTACTTTGTACTTTTGAGTTTTATTTTTGATTTAAGACTTATCAGAAATAGAATTAGTCAACCATTTTAATTAAGTACAGTCTTTTCATTCATTTTTAATGAAATACGATAAATCGAAGTGAAGTAATTTATGAAAATCATTTTGTTTTGGGTTTTTTTGTTTTGGACTAGTTCAAAATTATTACTTTGGGATATCGAATTAAAAACATTTGGTTTTTTGTTGTATGACTAAGATTTTCTAATTTAAAAGAATTATTTAAATAAATATTGAAAACAATTTTTCGAAGATTTTTTTCTTACGTGATTTACATCTCTTAAAGTTGTTAGCGTAAATTATAATTAATTGACCAAACAAGTAGGACCAATCTTTATAAAGAAAGTAATTATACGATCACCGGTAGAAAAAAAAATCGTGCTTGTCATTTTTGACATAATTTTCCCAAGATTCTTTAACATGCGTTTTCCTTTTATTTCATGAAATCTTTTAAGAAGAATAATAACTTTGTTCTGTTACAAAAACATGTTTGTACTCGAATACCATAAGTCAAAGTGCTAGAAAAACTTTAAATGCAAAAGTTAAAGTACAAATTATAATGATGAAACATTGAAACTTAATTTAGCTAGAAACACGTTTGTTTTTTTTTAAAAAAAAATGTCATAAAACATTCCTTTTGTCACTTGTGTTAATTTAAACTTTTAAAATTAATGGAAAAGTTCAGTTTTAGATCAAATTCCCTTGAAAAGAAAATATAATTTACAACCCCCAAAAAAATAATTAAGGAATAAAAAAAATTCACAAAAAATACAAATTTGATGGGAGATTTAAAAACATTAGTTGGCCAAAAATATGAGTTTCAACTGTTCAGAAAGTTTTCATTTTTTTTAAACTAAAAAAGTAATACTGAATGAAAACAAAAACATGTTTAAAATGTATTGTAATGTAAATTATAGCGAGTAAAATGTTCTTGAATAGAGCACTATCGCAAATTGAACTAATGAGCACTACTTAAAATCAGAACTAAATAGACTAGTCCACACATTTAAAAAACAAAATAATTAGGGAAATTTAATAGAATTATTTAGTTTAAAACTTTCCTTAGGCTACACTTTTCTTTTCAGAATCGAAAAAATATTTATTAGTTGTCTATGTAGAAGTTCATTCAAATTTTTTTTTTTTAAAGTGTAAGAATCGACTAGTGCCTATATTTCCTGAAAGATTCATTCGGTAGAAAGAATATCTGGTAGACAAGGTAAATTTTTTTGGCTTTCGTATTTTGATATAAAATCTTGTACAATTTTAGTAAAACTTAATTTATCATTGCACATGAAAATTCCAATTTTTTTAGCAAGGAAAAATATAACTATATTTCAAATGAATAACATTGACGTGACATGAGAATGACATAGGATCTTTCAAATTAACGAACCTTCATTGTGCAATTGAAAAAAAAATCGAACTTTTAGTAAAACTGTGGAATCACTTTTCGTTTTCAGTTGAAATAAATCTGAACTAAAGAAAGCATTTTATTTTGACAGCTAAGTACACTTTCAGTGTAAAACAAAAATAAATAAAAGTTATTAGCTGCAAAAATACGCATGTACAAAGTTTTTGTCCTGTGCAAACACACACACACACATATATATATATATATATATAATATATATATATATATATTTTTTCCCTTACTTACCGCAATGCCGAATGACTTGAATTCACGAGGCAAAAAAGTTCACGATTCCACTTCCTCGACGCATGCGCATTTCATTAATAATTGAAAATGGCTTCTACTTGTGGTCACTTGTGCGAAGTAATTTATTATTGTTAAACAAAAAAGCAAAACTTTGTGATTGGTTCGCAGAGAAAAAATGTCATGAATACGACTGAAATTGACAGACAACTATTTTATATACTAAATCAGAATCTTTGTATTGAATAAGATGTTTAAATTTAATACTGTAAAAGTAAACAGATTTTTACCGCCAAAAGAAAATTGTGAATGACGATTCCACTGATGAATGAAAAATGCAGTTTTTGAAAGAAATTGAATATCAAATTACTATGTTTATCCATCCGCTATATAACTTTTGTTTCATAACGCGGGAAATATACTTTTTAGTTTTTACAATTATTTCGTTGTTCTTATTTTGATTTAAAGCCCTAATTTTAATGCAAATGCTACTTTCAATATTTAATTTATTTTACGATATTAAATAGTTATTTATTTTTAGATTTATCAATTATGTCAAGGTTCTTCTGACCTCCAAATATAGTAAATGTCAAAAATGCTTTAACAGGTAGTAAATGAATATTTTTTTACCTTATTTTGAATAAAAAAGGTAAGTAATTTTCTAAAGAAAGTAAAATAGAAAAAAAAAAAACCCATGCAGAAATGAAGTATTTAAAAAAACAAGTTGCTATTTTTAAAGAATTATCTTTAAAAAAATAAAAAGTAAACCTAGGAATCTGGTGTATGTAAATTTTAATTTTTTTTTTTAAAGAACTTGAATTTTTTAAAAATCCATATTTGGATAAATCATAAAGTGATAATTAGAACAAAAATGCTTAATTTTATAAACTAGATATTTTTTTCACGTGTTGCCGTTATTCAAAAAATTACTTGAAAGTTACTTTTTTTAGAGAAATAACTTCAATTCAAGTAATTTTTTCAACTTTTTACTGTAAAAAAAAAGATCATCTACTTTTCTTGAGAAAACTTTTGCTTTAGTTTTTAAATTAATATTAAATATTTGTTTTTTAAAAGTTAAGCTTAGTTTTTAAAAAATGTGTAACATTAACAAGTTGTTTAAATTGAATTTGAAAGAACATTGATGACATGAGGCTTGTCTTGTTCAGTTAACAAAAAAGTCCTTTTCTTAAAATACGAAACATTCGGTTAACTCAACTGTTAACGTTTCGAATTTTAAGATTTATATAAAACTTTGTGTATCCTTTAATAATTAAAATAAAGGAGTGTATATATCCGTTCTTTATTTAAAAGAACTTTTTCTGCAACCACCCATACATGAAAAAAACGAAAATACAGTCAGGGATCGATCTGCCACTGTATCGCTAAAAACGGGGCCCAGCTAAAAAAAATTGATAAAAAAAAATCAACATTTTGCGATTCTGACAAATGTGGAAAGCCTAAGAACGTACAAAAATTATTTCGAAAAATGTTTGTTGCTGTTATTCTTTAACGAGTGGGCCAGGAGGTAGTACAGATTTAAAAGAAGGAATTTTATTGTAAAACAAAGTGGAAAATGAAATCCCCCCCCCAAAAAAGAACAAAGCTGTTACCTGACTACGTATGCATCATAACTAGACAAGTTACGAAGTACATAAATTAACAATACGAACGGTAAAACAAATTCTTTAAACAAATATAGGCCTTGTGTTTTTGTGAACAAAATACGAATACCACAAACAACAATGTTTTAATTGCCGATAGAATGTACTATTGTTATTTGTGCAGCGGGAGATGCAAGTTACTCATGAAATTGTTATACTATTCAACTAAAAACAATTTTTGTAAATAAAAGCAAGGTAAATGTGAACATATTTCCTTTTTTGATACTTACCATTAAAAAAAAAATAACTTACAAGTTAAGGACAATTTTAGGATCCCTTGCTAAATTATGCGTTTATGTCGCATGTGGCTTCCACTTTGAACCATCGAAGTTTTAGTTATTCAAATATTGATATACAAAGTGGTCGGAAAGTCTTGTCACCGCCTACCAAAAGGAGTAATAATGTGAACAATAGAAGAATAAGTAATACAAAGCACATGTATTGGATTCAGTTTATTCACTTTCACTGACGCTTTCACACATCGAGAAGGTCTGTATATAAACACCATTATTTCTGTGTCAGCCATTTGAAATAGAAAATTATGTAGGTGACAAGACTTTCAGACCACCCTGTAGTTTGACGAGAGAACCTGGTTTTAGCTGTAACCAATTATCGTACAACATACCTTCGTGGATTAAAATTAAAAATAATAGAATTCAAATACTTTATCACTTCCTCCTCTAGTTGGGGTTGTTATTGCATCAACCATACGAACATTATATCTGCTCCACTTCCCTTACTTTATATTACCATGCCTTTGTATCTTTTTCATCACGTTTTTAGGCCCTACTTTGGAATGACCAATCTAATTTTAAATATGTCATTCTAATTTAGGTCATAAAGTTTTACTAATTATTAATTAAAGAAATTGTATTATTGCAAACATATGTGTAATTGTCACCTGTTTCTCCAAAATTTGGCACTTTGAGTTTTGTGCCAAAGTTAGCTTTGGGCGCAGAATCATAATATTTGAAATGTGAATGTATTTTTTCCCTTGTCCATGAACAACTTGAGTTGCAATGAGAATAAACAAAATAATACAAATTATCCAAAAATTCTTTTCAAAGCGTTACTAACAGTTTTAAATAAATACCAGGTAAGATCCTTCAGGACATTAATTAAATTATTAAATACAGAAGAATCAAAGCTTTCTTTCATACTCCAATTTGTTTCATTATTTGATCCATCAATTTCAGGGAATCGGCTTAAATTATCTTACATTTCTACTGCAACAACACTAAAGAAAGATATTCATATGTTCAATTTTTCTTATTGGGAGATTCTATTTGTCACCAACTACTAACATGTATTCTTGACAGATATTTTAAAATATTCAAAAAATATTATTTGAGCATTTGCTTGCTAAAAATACAACAAACAATTCTAAAGTGGGTAATGTTCTGGATTCTAAAGGGACCATTTTAGACTTAGTAAAAGGTTTTTGCTAAAGATGAAAACTAATGTAGTAAAAACCATTTTCTTGATTGATAAACCACAAAACAAAACCATAAGTCACTATAACGGCAACAGAAACATCATAAAATATATAAATCTGCTGGCTATGTTTCATCCACAAAACATCTGGGGAACTTTAAATCAAAGTGAATAAGATTTTTATATAAAGTAACTAAAATTATGCATCTTGATTTCAGGAAAGATAGCAATGTCCCAATCTAATTTCTCTTACCACAAGTCACTAAGTAGTATTCTATAACTGTTTCAGAATTGTCATATATTGTGCTATGAGAATTACTGCGTATAACTGGAGAATGAATAAAAATATAATTTGACATTTCAGATTTATGACTTGGTTTTTAGTGAGTACCATTCCATATTCCAGGGGTATAATTTATAATTTTTCATATTTGACAGGTCTCTAGCTTTTCAAAGACATCACTTGACATTTTAGTTTCACTCAAATATTCATTATTTGATAAAATAGGGCAGTCATTGTTTTTGTTTGAGTGTAACTAAAAAGTAACACAGATCTCATTCATTATCATGAGAGAATGATTTGAATTCAGTATTTTCATTATATATTTGATATGCTTCTAGCTTTTCAGAGGTATCACATTTATTTTAGGTTAAGTGTTTATTTACATATACAAAAAAAAGGTAAAGACAATTAGGAGTGAAAGAAAGGGAAGAAAATGTCCTTTAAGGGAAGAAAAAATGTTAACAGAAAAAAGGCTTGCTCAAAATATTTCTCATAAAAGTTCTTTAAGAGAGTAGAATTTTGTTAAGGTTTAGAAACACTCACAGTTCTTGTAGAGTAGAAAAATTGTTGGTAGATATAGGAATTCTGCAGTTGAGTGAGTTTGTAGGTCGGTGGAAAGTCTTGTAGGTGTAAGGAAGGCAGCTTTCAAATGTTTTTAGTATTGGGTTGACGGTCTGTCTTTCCAGCCAAGCAGGAATTTCTTCTTTGGTTGAAAGTGGTTCTGAAGTTGACTGGTGTTTTCTGTTGTCGACCTTACAGACAGTGGGCTGAATTCTCACTGCCAAATAGGCATAGATTCTCCAAATTTATGGAGATTTGCGAAGCCCAGAAGGATCAGGGTCTTTACCCTGCAAAATCGTTATACAAATTTACTGGCACCTCCATTGGTCAGGAAACAAATTCTTATCTCTGATAAGAATCAAGGCTTTGGGAGCCGGTTTTGCAAGTAATGAAAACAGGTTGGAGTGAACAAGCTGTGAGGTTTCCTCCAGATTTTATGTCACCATGGAAAGAATAATGGTGGTGGAATTCCTTTTTATATTTTCCAGCTCTCTCATTAGTCAGAAGATATATTCTTATCTCTGATACGAATCAAGGCTCTGGGAGCTGGTTTCGAAACTAATGACAAAGGTTGGAGTGAGGATTGGAAAAATAGGCTAGAATGTAAACTATTTGTTCTCAAATCAAATTCTAACACTCCATGTTCAGGCTTTCCCCTTCTATATTTTGGATAGGAGTCATTCTCTAACACTTTCACCCCAGCCCCTGGCGTCTTACTCTCGGGGTTGAGGTGTCTACTCAGCCCTAACCGAACTTAAGGGAGTGGCCATAGGTTTCCTGAGCATCCATAGATTATTCGACCGGTCTGCTGGCTTAATCCTGCCCACGTGATTTGTTTGATCCAGAAAGCAGAAGTGATGTCTGTCCATTCACGATTGACTGAAGATGTAGATATGGCTGGGGGGTCTGTGCTAAGAAATTTAGAATGCAGCAAAAAGAAGAAAAAATTAATATCTGCAAAAAACCGGACAAACATCGATTCTATGGTTGAATTGGTAATGTCTTTTATGTAGCAGAAAAGAATAGTAGAGAAGAGAAACAGGTTACAGAAAAAAAAAAAACTTATACACTGGATTCTAGAGAGAGAGTGTAGGTGATTATCTTGTTGTTAAACCGTCTCAGAACGATATATGACTCTTGCGATGGAGGGATAGAGATTTCTGTGCGGGGCTTAGTTATAGTGGCGTTTCTCCTCCCAACGCTCGCCTGGACCAATTCATTCTTCAAGAATTTTCTCCTGTATGTCTTTTTCAGCATAACTACGCATTTATGTAGATAAATCCGGCTGGTTATAACTGACCCTCGGCCCTACTACTTTGCACATGATTATCACGGGGTTCTGGCTGCTTCAACCAAAATCATGTGAATTCCAAAGTTCCTTCTAGCTTACTCAGCTCTATTTCAATTTTTAATTGATAAAATTTATTTCAACCATTTTCATTGTCTACTGATGACCCAGATTCAATGGGTACAACTTCTGCCCTAGATCAGATTTCCCCATCAGTAAACAAAATGCTGATTTAATTTCGCTATTAAAATCTACTCAAATTTCATTAAAAAAAAATATATATATATGTGTGTGTGTGTGTGTGTCACATTTCCTCCCCTACCAATCTGTCATTTACTAGAAAATGACACACGAGCTTTAATATCAACAAAATGAGAAAACCCAGTCCAACATGCTTCTTACTAGGGGACTACTTAAACGTATGTCTTTTCCAGCATGCAAAGGTAGTCCTCAGTTCTTAGGGCTAATATGCCCATTTACATTTTCATTGTCCTTACGATACATATGTACATAGATTTCACATAGTTCACTGGTTTGAGGGTTCTTTCCTTCTTTTTTTTTTAGGTTCGCAACACTTCTTACCAATTATTTCAGTCTCCTTACTAAAAATAAAAAAAAAAGTTCGTAAATCTATCCCTCCAATTTTGTCTCGCCTTCACAACAGGCTTTGTCAAATCTTCTGTTGGTTCAGGTCCTTCCACGATAATCGTGGACTCTTCTATATCAGTTAGGGGTCCCAATGCACTCCGGTCGGACCTACCTTGGTAAAGTGCACTAACTGGAATCCCCCCTTCACTCATGCACTCCTGTGCCAGTTTATTCTGCCCGGTCGACAACACCGCATGCCTCTTCAACCATCACCAAACCAGCAAGGCCACGACTATCATTAGTATAATTCCCACAATGGTCGACCAGGTTATTATAGCAACTAAATTCCCTCTCCAGCCCGAATTCGGTGTACCTATCCTAACTCTGACTTCAACCGTCCAAGATCAATCTTATCGACTTTGATCTAGTTATAATCACTTCGTTAGTCTTCTTAAATACAGTATTCTCACTGTGTTCCCAGGTATTAGCTACCACAACTAGCATCGTCAGTACCACGAGCCTCCTCTCGTCCATGTCTGTAAGGAGATGGAGAGAATAATTCGTCTTACTCAATCATTCTCTTATTGTTTTTATCGGGTGGTTACATCTTAGTGCGATACCTCAAGCACCAACCCATACCACCACCAGCGACGTGCATGCATGGGGCCATCGACACAGTTCACTAGCACCGATGATAAATGCACAGTTAGTCCCAGACCGTCACTCATTCACCACAACCACTGTACTGGTTTCACTTAATCTTTGGGCTCGGACTGCACTGCCCCCTTAATCGCAGTTTTAGTGGTAATTCCTAGGTGCATTTTCAGCCCGCAATTTACTCTGCAATTAAGCTAACGGAATTTCATCCTCTTCTTTCCATTCACTCAGTTCTTCTTCCTCAATCCCTGCTTCCTCAGAATGTCCCGCTGGGGTCCGATTTACTTCCCTCAGCCTTCGAAGGATAGTTGGGCTAATTTCAATCTCCTCACTCCCTTCACTTTCACTCTCAGTCTCTAACCCTTCAGGTTCTACCAACGTAGATTTCCTCAGCCTTTTCTGTTGAGTTTTTGTTTCGGCTCCTTTCTATTCTCCTATTTCAGCTAGCTTTATATCATTCGCATGCACTTTCTTTACTTGTTCGGTCAATTGGTCCCAGATCACAAAGGAAAAGGTCTGCTCCACGATCCTATAGTATGGACTCCATCTCTGGTCCAATTTACCTTCTTTCAGGTGTATTTTATAATACACTGGATCACCTATCTGGAAGGAAACTTCTCTATTTTTATTTACCCTATCATTTTGCCTTTTATGGGCTCTTTGAATCCTCCTCTTCACCTGCGTAAAGATTTTATGCTGCTGTTCTAAAACTATTTGGTGATGACCCTCTCCTAAATACTTCTTCCTAGGTCGTAACAGATTGTCTATAGGTAAGATTACATCCTTGCCATATATCAAGTAATAACGGGAAAATTTGGTCGTCTCGTTTATTGAGAATATCACAGCTGTTAACGCTTGGGTTACGAATAAATCCCAATTTTCCCTATTATCCTCTGTTAGCAAGGGTCTTATGAAATCTTTCAACTTTAGAATTACTTTGGGGGTGATATGGAGAGGTGGTTATGTGCTGTATGTTTAATTCTCCCAACGTCTCTCTCATAATCTGATTCACATTCTCCAATCCATTATCGGTAACCAACTGTTCGGGGGCCCCATACCTAGGGAATATTTCGTTCAGTATTATATCTGACACCGTTCATGCCTTCTTATCCGGTATGGCAAATGCCTCAGGCCAATTCGTCAGCCAGTCCACAAAACTCGCTATGTAAAGATTACCTCTGTGTTTCTCCATAGGGCCCGGAAATATCCATGATTACTTTCTGAAATGGATAATTCGGAACATCCGTTTCTAATACTGGGGTAACCGTACTCCTTCGACTCTGTACTTGGCATGTTACACATTTTTTACATGGTTCACAACATCATTAAACAACTTAGGCCAGAAGTAATTTCTCATTATTAATCCATACATCTTATCAATTCCCAGGTCTCTTAACCTCCTATGGCACTGGCCTAGAATTTCAGCTCTCAACTTCTCAGGCATCATCATTTTTAAACTTACTTCCTCACCTCTTCCTGAAAGGTAATAAAACATTCCATCGTGCATCATATATTTGGAGGTACACCCTGCCTCTCCCCTGGACCTGATAGTTGCTATCTCGCTATCCTCTTGGTTTTGCCTAATAATATCTCTCCAGTGGGGGGGCGGAAACAATCTCCGTTTCACTCGTTTCCTGATCTTCCCAACCAAGTCTCTCCTTCAACGCCTGTGAATTGATCACATTAATTTGGAATGCTTTATCATCCACACTCCAACCTGACAGATTCGGTCTCTAATTGCCTCAGAATCCTCGATAACAGGTCAAAACAGGTATTATCCTTCCCCGCCAAATATTCTATTCTGCAGTTATACTCACTTCAATGACCACTATTGTATCTCCTTATTCGTTCACTCCGCCTCTAACAAATATTTGAGGGGTTTGTGGTCTGTTTTAATGGTAAACACAGCCCCACTCAAATAGTAATCTAATTTCTGCACAGCATACAGAATGGCGAATGCCCCTTTTTCTATTACTGGCCACCTTTGCTGAGTCTCGGAGAGCCGATGAGACAGAAAATAGATCGGCACTTCCTCAGGCACACCCGGTAGTGGTCCATCCTTATCGGGACATGGTTGTGTAAGAACCGCCCCGATGCACTTATCGCTAGCATCTTTTTATTTGAACGCAAGACCTTTTATCTATTTTCTTTATTCGAACATAAGACCTTTTGTCTCTCTCTCTCTCTCTCTCTCTCTCTCTCTCTCTCTCTCTATATATATATATATATATATATATATATATATATATATATATATATATATATTATTCAAACATAAGACCTTTTGTCTATTTTTTTTTTTAAATTTATACGAATATTTCGCATTTTTGTATATTTTAAATCAGAATCATAACGCGCACATAGTGTATTTATAGTGTTTTTCCTCTTGATCATTGCCATATATCGTTTGTATATATCATTTTTATTTTATCAGTTTGTCATCGGTTTTTAGCGATACATATATGTAAACATAATTTTAAAAATTATTTTTTACTCGAACGTAAGACCTTTGTCTAATTTATTTTATTTCTTTAAATTTATACGAACATTTCCCATTTCTGTATATTATTTGTATTAAGAAACAGGCTAAACGATAAAACGTGATAATAGCGTTGAGTTTGTCGGAGTTACCTCCTCCTTCGCTCCTTAAACTAAGAGAACAGGTCATTTCGACCATGACCTCTAGGATGTGCTCCCTATACGCTGTTAACCCGTGGTAGAGACTAGCAAGTTCCTTTTCAGTTTAGTTATATTACAAACCTAGTTGTAATATACTGCTAGACATTTTTAGGCCATAGTTCCCTTTAGCTAATCTCGACTTATTTTTTTTATAGAGACTTTACTGTTTAGGTTACTCAATTCTCTTGCTAGTCTCCCTTACCACAAGACAATGACTTCTCACTAAATTTATTGTCGGCGACTGAAACGGTCGGATACGCAGGCCCCTGGCCTTCGCGGCCAGGAACGTCGATCAACGGGCTGCGTATTAAGTTACGCTCCCATTTTTTTTGTCTGCCAACTTGACGATAGTTGGAAACTTTCCTTTCTCTCTCTCTCCTTCGCCTACTACTCCTGGCTCCTTGGCCCCGTTCGACGCTCGGCATTCTGTCCCTACTGGCTGCCTGCACGTCGTCCATAACCTTCCCCGTACACTATGTTAGTAATTATTACAGGAGGTTACTAATATCAGACTCGACTGGCAAACACGCAACGCCTGTACTGAACCTTTGACATGGCCGAACAACGCCAGCTCTTCTTTCCTTCCCAACATGTCAAGTTGGTATCCCGGCCACGACCAACATCAACTGCAACAACCAACAGCGATCATCCCAGCAACGACCAACATCAACTTCAACTACAGCGATCATCTCTGCAGTGACCACCTGTAATGACCCACCTCGACCATCAATACCTGCACCGGAACTTCTGCACCTCTACCGTTCCGACCACCTTTATTTCTTTTCCTAAAATAAATTAGCATATATCATATATATCCTCGTTCTGTCATCTATATTGTTGCACCTTGTCAGATTTAACGTCCTCGAAAATGTTAGCGGGCCTCTTGTGACCTCATCACCCTTTTGGGATATGGGGGCGCCCGGGGGGTCCGCTACAAGTTCAAGTTTCCCCGCCAAAGAAAAGAAAAAAAGTACAAAAAAAAAAAAAATTAAAAAAATAAAAACGGAAAATAATTAAACCATAAAATACTTAAAGAAATAGGGTAAGATTTAGGAACATTAAGATTACCTCCTCAGTTATCCATCGAAACTGCAATCCACCGAAATAAGAAAAGAAGCCAGTCCCCACCACGGGCCATTTAAAAAGTTAGTCCGCGCAGCAGATTGGTTGTTACAAACATCCAATTGGATGCGGGGAATATGTTGTCTTTCTTCCTCTTATTCTTTAAAAAGGCCAGAGTAGCTGTTAGCATTTAATCAAAAGGGGGAATCGGGGGTTGATCTCCCCTGATTGGATCGATTTGGTGATGGGGAGTATGATGTTGAAAGACCCGAAACTCCCTGATCAACCAAGTCAAAACATCACTGACGACCCCCTTGCGCGCCTACTTAAAAGCGTATTTTCGAACGAAGGACAGCACCATGGGCTTATTCAGGTCTGGGTAAGCCAACAGGGGTACAGTTGTCAGCCGGTCCTTTAGAGCCTTGAATGCATGCTGACAATCCTGCTTCTTAGTTAGAGCTATTTGAGGGCCTGCTAGCTGACTAAATGCTGGTATGAACCTCCGATAATATCCGATGACTCCAATAAATCCCCTAATCTCTCTTACGGTCTTCAGTGTGGGTATGGCTCTTATAACCTCTACTTTGTCTAAATCCGTTTTTATTCCTTCTTTGTTTTTGATAAACCCTAAGTACTTTGTCTCTTCTTTCATAAACTGACACTTTGATAATTTTAACTTTAATCCATGACAAAACTAACCTGGTCGTGCATCTCGAAAAGGAACTCCAATCGGTTGTGGACTGGGGCAGGAATTGGCTGGTCAACTTTAATGCCTCAAAAACAAAACTGCTCTCTATTAATCACCACAGAGATCCTTCCCTGCCCTCCATTAGAATGTCTGATGCTCAACTTCTCGAGAGCACCTCTCTGCGGCTGCTCGGTCTCACGTTGACTGCTGACCTGAGATGGAACAAATACATTGAGTCAATTGCTTTGTCCACCACAAGGAAAGTTGGCTCCCTGTGCCGCGCCAGGAAATTTTTCTCCCCAGAATCGATCCTCCAGATCTACAAATCAACAATTCACCCTTGCATGGAGTATTGCTGCCATATATGGTCTGGAGCCCCTTCTGTTTGCCTCGGGGTTCTTGATAGGCTCCAGAGGCGGATATGCAATATAATTGGCCCTGTTCTGGC